TGATTAATACGGACTATAGGTTTTAAGAGAAATTTTAAGTTTTAAAAAAGATAAACGGATTTGAAAGGAAAATTTTAGTTATAAGTAGAATAMAATTTTAAATAACGGACTTTTAAGTAATTATACTCAACATAAATGTTAAGCTTTAAGATAAAAATTTAGATATAAGGGAGAATATATAACAAACGGTGTAAAATATAAATAAATAAATAAATACAAAATTTTTGTCCTAAGAAAAAATCCTAATTTGTCTTTGAATTCTTTTTGGATTCTTAGCTTATTTACTGAAAMAATTTTTTTTTCCACATCTCCTCTAGCTTGCCATTTCTTTAGCGGTAATTTGTAAGACAAATGGAGGAGACATTTGAAGAAACGAATCCACCCGTGTAAAACTGATATCCCAAAAGATAAATTATCAGTTTTTACCTCTCGTTTAACCATTTCATCAATTAAATTAAACTGTTTCGATGTTGCACCACACAAGAAACATTTAAGTGTTGATGTCGTATCTGTGAGTGCATTACATATTTTCCCATCAACCATTGCTAAAATCAAATAAATGATTTGTTATCAAAAGTCACAATACTATTTATTAACTTATTTATTTGACTCTGAACTTTTTCTTTCTCAACTATAGATGTATTTGTAGATTCTTTTATACACTCAATTTTTATAGGCCTACAATATCTAGTTGATGCAGGACGTGGGTTTTGCCATATAATTTGGTCACCGTTTACCAAGCGAAGTGGAACTATACTTGTAATAAATACAGCCCAATCACTGGCTTCGGGACTACAAAAAGCTTGTTTATATGAACTATGTCCAGAGCTGCCATCAAAGCCCCATTTTGAATACAAAACGAACTTATCTAATTCATTTTCTGGGAGTAAGACAATAACAGGCTTTTGCACTAAAAATAATCGTTCTACTGTGTGATCAAGTAATGCTTGTAAAGAAATTTCTGCGATTGTAGAAGTTACTTGTATGTTTTCTGGTTTTGGATAACACTGTTTTTTACTTTCTTGTACGACTTTGTATGGTGGAAATTTATCTGGGGCACTCATCCGAATAATATTGTACTTATGTCTAGATAGCTTTGCATCTACTATAACAGCTAGAGCATCTTCACCCGATAGTTTTTTAGGTGCTTGTGCAGACTGCTTCTTAAATACTTTTCTATATCTACTTGCACGTGTGGGAGTGGATGTAGTTATTTCCTTCAGTAACTTTGCGGCTTCAACTTGTCCCGATGCTCTTAAGCTCATCTGTGTTGCATGACTTAACACATTAACAGACGTATAATTTCTCAGTTCTTGAGTTCTTTTCCGCTTGTTTCGTTCTCTACTCATCTCAAATGCCACTACTGGACGACCACGATTATTCTGGTTATTTAAAGATACAAATTTAATAGAAGCATTTAACCAGTTTTTATTTATTTTCTACAATAAATCGTTCTTCCACTCTATGTGCCTTTTCCCAACGAGATTTATATTCAGACTTGAAATAAGACAATTTTTTTTTCAAATCATTTTGCTCACAGTTTTTCACTCGTTTTTCTATTTCGATTTTTATCAAATTAAATTTTTCATCAATAGTCTCACATCCAGAACTTTTAATTATATCATATAATTTTTGTCTGGTTATCAAAACAGTGCTCSAATTCATTCCTATACAAACATTTTTAAACTAATTATGACGTTTGTTTTCATCAACATAATATTTCTATAGGTACCTACTATCAAAATTAGCAATAATTAATACAGACATGAGATAGTACATAAATGATGTGTTCAAAAAGTTTGGAAATGCTTTAATTACGGTTTGTGTATTTTAATGCATACACAGAAAAATAACATATAACACTGCTAAGGTAACATTTTTAATAAACTCATTAATTATAGTATCATATATCGTTTATCAGTCCCATTAAATCTAATAACTATTACCAAACTTTTTAAACACTTTGTATATTCCTCTTTTATGGGAATACTGTACATTTCTTAAAACCCCTTTAAATATTTAGTTACACTAGACCCACCTTCCCTCCGAAAAAAAATAAAGCAATTTTTTTCAAGTGAAATTGGTATATGTCGTCCAGTTAGAATTTATTTACACGAAATGGGGCAAATATGGGCAACATTTTTTTTAACAAGGTAATAGAATACTCTATTAAGTATTATATTTTGCAATTTTAAATGCTTGGAAAGCCTTGGAAGTGAACTTAAATTATATATCATTTTCGTGATACAAATATATTATTATTATTATTATTATTATTATTATTAGTTATCTAGGTAAATATTATGTATAACTCGGTAAAACGTATATATTAAACGTTACGTAACTTACCTATAGCTAATGGTTTCATAATAAATTGAATTGAATACACAAACAATCGCTAAGTTACAGAAAAAAACTAAATTGTAAAATAATATTATTCTGTTGGATTTACACTGCAACACTGTGGACTTATATTACGACTGCTGTAACTAAATCAATTTAAGCCACAACACGTGCACTAAACCAGTAAACTATGCAGTATGAACTCCATTATTGATACATATAATAATTCGATAAGATAAGTAAAATTTGATAAATGCTATTTTTGCCAGCTTTCGATGTCAATTGCCCCACTGTGACGTACACAGATTTTTCCATCTTCATTAAATTATATACAATATAATATAGCTATCGGTTGTTATGACGTGCGTATAGTGAAAAACAAATTATTAGCCTTTGTATTTCCTACGTATACGATAGACAATGTTTGTAAACGGTCCGAGTTAATGAAAATTAATTAAGCTTGAAATTTTATAAGGTATCATCAATGCTACAGTTATTATTATAATGTATGGAATTATATTCAAGAATTTAAAAAAATTAAATATTTTACTTGAATACACGGAATAATTTAATAAAAGTTATAATAATAATATAAATTATAAAATTAAAACAAAAACAGATATTCATTTTTTACACTTTAATACCCTAAGATTAAAACAAAAAAAAGTATTTTATACATTATAATAATTATTCCTTTTTTCATACATTATTATAACACGTGTACATATTATAATCTTAAAATAATATTTTATAACATTAATAAATCGTGAAAAAAAATAGTATTTTACAAATCTAACATCTTCACGTCGCCGTGCGAATGGYAGCGTGCATTTATTTGTGTGTTTCTGTATGTATGTAAGTATGTATGTATGTACGTACGTGTGTATGTATATATGTGTGTGTGTGTGTGTGAGTGTTAGTGTGATTTTTTGTATTAATGTGACACGAACAATTAAAATATTTAAAATTATATTCACGACGGTCGGTTTTGAATTGGGACAACAAACTGGCATATAATGTAATATTATTGTTATAAATATGTTAAGAAAAGGAATAGTTTTCCTCAATAGAATGTGAGACAAAGAGAGTTATACTAATTGTATAAAATTATGTATATCGTGCATCTGCCACATTAAGTTAAGCGTATCCTTGTCGACGTTCTTCGTTCCGTATGCTACTCGCCAGGCACAACGCGAAAACGATTCCAATCAGCTGCAACAAAATAACGCGTTCAGCTTAAATAGACATTTTAAACAGATTTTGATAAAATTGTTATTGCTTACAACTTAGCCGATTTAGTCACACTTAGAAGTGACCAAATTTTAAATAATCGTACCTATATAATATAAATAGAATTGAGGACTCCGCTGTTGAATGTATAATATAGTATATACGTGTATACAAGGTGGTCTTCTTTTAAACATTCTCACCCCCATTTTACCAAAGTAAATTTTGCATATACCTTATAATTTGTTTAGTAAAAAAAATAACTATATAATATATATTTTTGAACTAAAACAGTTGTCAAAAATCAATTAACGAAATAATAGATAAATAGAACAAGATATCTAATTAAAATTACTATCTTTWAAAAAATAAAAACACTGTACATTTAAATTTATTTAAAATATATTATTTATTAGTACCTATATAGATAAGGAAGGCGCGATAATAATATAATGAGTACAATAAATCACCAGGCTATAGTTTTTCCCTCAAAAAGATGATTTTTATAATAGTTGGTTATAATTATTGTATACATTATTAATCGTTTCGCTCTAAAGACTGAAGCTACGCCCCAAAAACACAAAATAGAATATGAATAATCGTCAAAACAAATGTTGACAATGATATCGCCAATTCGMGTTATCAGCATAATACGACAACACAAGTATAATTCTCAAACAATTACGTAACATTAAATATAAATATATTGTATTATTTATAATGAGTATTTCGTGTAGGTATCGCATAGAAATACCTATTACTAACCGTGTTTACTAATTAGTAATTATTAATTTGGAATATTATTGAATGGGTTAAACTGATAAGAGAAAAGTTTTGTTCTAGTCCGTGCTATTACTGTATGACCATCATTTTCAAAGACTATATTGTTGACATTGTTATAAAACACTAAAAGTATACGATAAATCGATGATCGTCGTCTGTATGATTTTAAAGTAAACATTTTAAAAACCTTACGCACTGTAGAGATATATTTGTTGTCTTTAAACGTTATAATATATATATATGTATTGATTTTCAGATATTCAAGCTTACGAAAATAAATGTGAAAGAACGTACATTTTCATGTTAGACTTGTAGTGCACCAGCATACAGAAGGTGGACCGTTGTGACTTGATGGAAAGAAAGTGGCGAAATAGAGAACCAAAAATCTAAGATTACTTAAAAGTTAAAACTATATAAGTACTTTGATTTTTATTATTATTAAAAAATCATTAAGATTTTAAACATCAGCTGTTGATTAGGCAGTGATGAGGCTCTTAGGTCCTTACCTACAATAACATAACGTATAGTATAATRATTATAAATCTTTAATGTTTTTTAATTTAAAAAATATTCTAACAGTACATTATTTTTTAATATCTGAAAATTGTCACTATAAGGATGAGTGATGTAGTTTTTACTTTCTAAAAGCCCAATAGAAAATAAATCCTAGTTGTGGCGCTGAAAGCCACTTCGAGGGGTATAATTTGTACGGAAATATAGACATTTTTTTCCTCCCATTTGAAATATTCTAGTCCTCGATTATTTAAAATATATATATATATATTATATAATGTGACTCACGTACTTGTGAAAAYGATAGTATGATAGTACAGGATTACTACCTATAATAATGAGTCATTATATAGTATCTATAATGGATTAGATGCGATGACTAACAACATTTTACTGAATACGTATCATAAATATAGACAAAGATAACGTGTACATTATTTTATAAAATTTACATGATTCTTCACCAATTTTATTCACCATACAAAACCAGAGTTCAATACTGTAAGTGTAAAAAATTTCACCATTAGTCGTTGTTTCGTGCTTACCTCTCCACCCGCGATTCCTATGATGATCTTGAACAACATGCCTGACTGGCCTTTGACCAAATCGATGGACTTTTGTAGACAACCGTCCTGCCACGCCTGGGCCTTTGAGCACGTTGTCCCTTGGCCGCCATCATCTCGGCAACAGGTGTGCGGTAGAGCGGCCGCGTTGCGTTCGGTCCAATAGTTCGGTCCGTCCACACCACAGCAGTGGAACTAAAAATAAATAGAACAAGTGGATGATAAAAATTGTAATTATTATAATTGTTGAACCTATTCTTAATTTAAATTACAACAAACGTGGTGGTTTATTATGTATTGTTACATTTCAATAAATTTGGGGGAAAAAAAGTCGTATATAATATATAATTTATGTTCACGAAAACATATTACTTTTATACTTGACATTCACACAACACATTATAATAAGGACAAATCTGATAAATGTAACCTCCCTAAAAATTGACTATTACGGTATCACGCTTAGCGCAAGGTTTCTTAAACCTTTCCACGAACCTTATGCCATTCGTGTGTTTTCAATAACCTATAAAAAACAAATATAAACACCAAAATGTTCTCGCACTTATCAAATATAGCTACATTGTTGCAAACAAAAGCACAGCACATCTATTCATACACCTCAAATCCACCAAAAACATACTGCTGGACTTCGTCAACCATCATGCGCGTTTACAATATAATTTACAAAACTAATTTAATACAATGTCGACTTATTAATTATTAATTATAATTTTAAATATTAAAACTTATATAACTAATATAATAAGAAATGTTATCGTAGATAATAATTAGTCATACTTGGCACATATTCTATGTTAATAAGATATGTATAGTATGTTTATTTATAGTATACATATTAATCATATTATACATAGGGAATCGGAATTTCGCGTTCAATTTGGAAACCTCGACGAAGCAGAATCTCACTTACCAGTGGGGCCGCTTTAGTCTATTAACTATATTATAATGCTAATAACAAACAAACAATGTTTAAATGTTGTAATATATACTTACGTCGTGTTGGATTTCGTCGACAAAAGTGCGTGATTCCGACTTATTCGAGTAATCTTCAAAAACGGTGTTCAACGATTTTCGAGTAATCGATTCCACTTGTCCCCGGTTCACGTACAAGAAAACACCGGTGGCCGCCTCCAACAGGAAGAACGCCAATAGGAACATTGCGTACTGAAACGAAGTCGTGTGAGTATCGCGATTGTGCGTGTGTATGTCATTTACATGCTTGTACTGAATTTAATAACAGGAGGAGAGCAAGGATGAACTGGACAGCTGAGATAGTGTGATATGTGTCCTGTGGCCATTTGTACTAAACTTAAGAGATAAGCTGAACTATATAACATTGTGGCTGTATCACACCTCTGGGCCAGGTGCCGCAAAATATTTGATGGTATATTATTGCTAATATAATTATTTCAAATACTAGACAGTCTTAAACACGACTATTGAACAAAATATATAGAAAGTAATACGATTATAAGTTCATGATTGAACCATTTAGTTCAAAATATGCATAGTGTAGGTAAATAAATGATTAGTAAATTAGTGATGATGGGTTAAGATATCTCCTTCGCCAGTTGGGCCAGTGTAGATTTTATAGATTCAATGAGAAAAAAACGTTTGCTCATTTCACGCAATATAAGAGGTGGGTAATTTCTGGGAACACGTGGAGATTTCTGGGAAACTGCATAAACTGCAGTAACAAATTTAAGTAAACGAATCGTAAGGCTTAATAACATATAAAGCTATGTACCTATTTAATTTCAATATTCGATTTGAAAAGCACTTTTTCAGTTCACTGTCCGTTGGTGATATTATGCCTACCGCGTATGAACGTCAAATTTTCCTATACTACATGGCGTACAAGACAAAAAAAAAATGTCGTTTTTTGCGTACAACGTGTAATTTTGTGGCCGTACGCACGGCTAACAGTTTTAAGTTATTCCGAATAAAATCAACCGTGCGTAACAATTGTACAATTTTTATATTCGCAAAATTATAACGTAGGTAATGTTGTTTTAACTATTGATATAACTTACATTTAAGTATGGGCTATGGCCTATACGATTAACAATTCGGGACAATCGACTGAACGGACATCAAAAATAGTAAAATAATTTAACAGAGAACCGAACAAAAATATACGATGATGATTGCGATAGTGATGCCAATATATGTATATTATGCCAAAATGGGAAGAAACTGTGTTAGCGGAAGATAATATATACAAACTTCTCATCCGAATACTCAGGTCATATTCTCTAGTTTTCTGTGGGCCAAAGGCCAACTTTTCTGGGTGGTTATAGGTCCCTATAATTTCATATAAATTTCTATGTTGGTGAATAAACGATTTAAAAAAAGAAAAAAAGGTCGTATTATTATCTACAGTGTTTCACGAGATAATACTTGTGTTATTATCAGTGCCGAGCCGTAAAACAAATGTGCGTAACTGAACATTTAAACGCCTTACTGATTTCGATATACTTAGAAGGGTTTGTCATGCTAAAATGTTTTTAAAAAAATAATAGGCACTTCGACCTCCTAAAGCAATTATCATAGGTACATTTTTTGTTTCGAAAAAGAAATGTATTTGTATATAGTTTAAAGCATGTAGACAATTATAGTCTATTGTGCGTGTATAATATATGTTATTATGTCATACCATTGTGATCATGCAATGGCTCTCCCGGATAGCTCCACAACATCCGAAGAACGACACGATGAACACGGCTCCGCCAATGACGATGAATGCCATAGCTGCCATACCAGCCGCATCTCCGGATGCTTTGTTGGCCAGCTCTTCAGTTTTCGTTGAATAATACCGGGTAAACAGACCCAAGGCCAACAATGCCAGACCAGAAAGCTGAAAAACAAACAACAGTGTTATCAATTTACCATATCTCTCGGGTGTGCATACCTATATAATACGTTTGAGACAACAGCAAAAAATCACATAATAATTACTAAAATATATATGATATATTATGTATGATGGTATTTTACAGTGTTTATGATTTAGAATATTATTATAAAAATCGGTAGATCACGGCAATATAGTTTTGTTTCATTTATTCGATCGGAAGTATTTTTGAATATTCGTTACACGGTTATCAGAACAACCATAATTATTTATAATAATAATACGATTGAGCATCGACCTTTTTAGCGATACGATTGAGCATAGAATATTTTTTGCGATATTGACACGTTCACATGGTCGAAATTTTGTATTTTATTACATTTATAACGGAATATTAAAAAAAATATTATGATAAAAAACTTAAACAAGTCACAAGTCCAGCTTTTCCGACAATGTTATCGATTAATTAATTAGTCATCGACTTCCAGAGTAATAAGTTTAAGTTTTATCCGTAATATAGTGACCGTTAATGACGGAACGTTTTAAACATTCAGCATTTGGGAAAAAATAAAAGCTTATTACCATGAGTAGCGATTGAAAAATTATTATATAGAAATAATTTAGTTTATGTATAGTGTTCGATTGCCTATATGAAGTCGTGACTGCAGACGTGCAGCATTAAAAAGTTCAGTTCATTTTTCTAATATGGATTTAAATAATAATAATATATAACAATAATTGCATAGGATATTTTTAACTCATACCATATTTTGAATGATTATAATTTATAATTATTTAATTAAATATTCTTGTATAGTATAGTTCAAAATTGAAAATGGCAACACCGCGTATATCATTTGTATGCTCATTTGGGTAGGTTTTCTTTTGTATTTCTATATCCTTTGATCAGCGTGTCGTAAAAAAGGAGTTTTATGCTCAATCGTATTGTAGCCAGTTATCTATATCAAGTCGCAAAAATTCGAGCAATTTCTAGTTACGATGCGCTTCGGTGACCCATGCGGAAAGAATAAAATCAAAATATTTCGACGGTCAAAAATGATTACATAAAAACTATCATCACGTTTCGAAGAGCAGTCTGCAAATTTTCATGATTTCTATTCTATTTTAAAAAAGAAAACTCTATTTGGGTCGCATTAGAATCCATTTTTTTTTTTAATGTGTGTCTTGTGATTGCCACCAATAGAACGTTTATTACAACTTATGAAAATAAAGTTTTTATAATCCAAGTCCAATGTGAACTCAAGCTAGGTACATGTATATTTAGTTTAATAATACTATGCAATTAATTGGGACTTTTATAAATAGGACTTGCGAGCTTACAGTTTAGTGCAGTCAGTGTGCGACTGAACTCTACAAAAACCAATATCGTCAGACTGATTGTTTGATTATGAGCCGTCCGTCGTGACGTAGGTACCTTTCGTAATGACGTCTAAAATGATAATTTTTTTTAATAAACGTAAAATCCATCCGTGTGACGCGCCACCACAGAATTGATAATAGATTTTAATTCGTGAAAGTGCATAATATATATAATATATATTATATTATTTCTATACTGTGATCAAAAAAATTGGAGACGATCATTATTGCGCTATAAGAATAATAATTATGGAACTGATAATCGATGATATGAAATACGAATGCCTAATTAATGAGATGATTAAAAACTATTTTACCTAATAAATGTGCAGTCATGTTATCTGTTATTGCTATATATATATATATATATGTATGTATAGTTTAGTTAAAGAAATATGCAACCATTACTCAAACCATTTCCAATTATTTTGAACATCTTGTATACTTAAGTACTTGTAGACTTCGTGACACACCACACTACACTCCGAGTGTTACGTGTATTTTGGTCTTGTAATGGAATATGGGTAGATATTTTTTGAAGCGACATAAACTATTTTAGTCAAGATACAAAGATCTAAAATAATCCATAATTTAAGATGGGTTTGCTGCCGGCCATATTATTTCTAATTCCCTGCTGGTTATTTTGTAGAATTATTATGTGATACCTATGATTATTCGTACCTAATGGATAAAATTATTATTATTGTTACAATACTTACAACTCTCCCGTGTAATTATGTGTAAAATATAAAATGTAAAATTATGCGTACCTAATAATTTCAATATTATGTTTATATACTGTTCACGACCTACCCAAGTGTTATTCTAAGTTCTTATATAAATAACATTGATATACAATTTGGTTATTTAATAATTATTTCGATGTCAACGAAAGTTCTAAGTACATTACATAATATTTGGTTATTCACTTAAGTAATTTTCTAATGACTAATGCCTAAAACTAATTCTCGTCAAACACAACGTTGCCATACTTCGTCAACCAATAACCATCGATAGAAGGCTAAGCACTTTGCTATGTTATCGTATTCTATACGTTTATACCTACCTATATTGCCATATTGGTATAACTAGTATCCGCGGACGTCGTACAATAAACGGTACAAGTGTAGAAAGTCGTGGGAAAAAGTACTGCAGCAGGCTCGAACGGATAAATTATGCGTACCTATATAAATAATAAATCATTTCATGGTATACAAGTTCATCATCGTAAGAAAATATTACTACTCAATACTCATAATAATCAATTATTGTGCGTGACTCAAATAATATTGGATTGCAATTTACAATATCATAAGATTCAAGATGCTCGAGTCACATGTTGGCAACAACATAATATTATATTATATTTATATTTATATCTTGTTATTTTCACGGATAATCAATAATCTATTATATAGGTATTATTGAGTAGTACGATAATCGTGGTCTCTTTTGAGACAATGTGAATTGTTCGTTTCCGTCGACATAAAACATGAGTACCGGAGTACTTGACGGAATGATGACACATAAATGTCACATAGCGTATTATATAACATTATTTTTACTACTTACGAATAACCTAACTGATTACGATAAAAATAATATAACCATTATTATGGTGCCATACTGCTATGGTATTACATCTATTATAATTTATAATACAATAATTATCATCTGACTTTTATTACTGTCGTTGAAGACGTTGACATACTATTATAATTCTTTGAGGACGCGTCTCGCCCAAATTTATTGTCTCCGTTTTACTAACGTAGCCATTGAGTAAAATATATTGTACAGTATATAATATATGTATATTCAATATAGTCAATGGTACAACATGTTATCAAATTTGCATTCAGCAGAACCCGAAATTCTGTTTTGTTATATAAAAGTAATAGCCTTAATAATTCATATATTGTCAAAATCAAAGATAAGAGCTATATAGGCTGTGTACTTGTGTAAGTAGGTATGTATGCTCATAACTCGATTAAAAATTAATATATAATAAAAAACCGTCACACAAACACATAATATATAAGATCTTTATACTTTATAGTTTAATAATTGGTCGATTCACTGTAATATTATTAAAGCTAACAACACACAAAATTGGTCCTGCTGTGCATTGCTGTCTTGTCCATCTTGTAGAAGACGGAGACGACTGCCGGACTGCACACATCTATCCTACGGCATAAATGCATAATGCAAAATCAATTGATGATGTTCCTACAACTGGATGAGTTAAATTTTCGAGATGACCGTTTAAAAATTAGGTATCCAATTTGTTCCCATCACTGTCACTTCCCGAAATATTGTGACTTATAATCTGATTGTTGCAAGGCGCCTTTCACTTGTGTATTAGTATTTTCAAAAGTATACTTTTTGATTGTTTTACGAAACCCAGTGTGCAGCGAGGATCAGGATAGATACTCGCATATAATATAAGTAATAAAATATGTATCATAATCATACGCCTTTCGCCCCCACATAATATAGGTATTATAAAATAATATGATATAATTAAACAATTTTTTGATCAAATTTAGGCTAAAAACCTTTATTTTTGAAGCCTCAATAAACTTAAAAAAAATAAAATAAACAATTATACCAATAGTTCCTCCATTACATTGCCAAATAATACGCGTATACATATTATTACTATTATTATTAATATTAATTATTGTTATCGAAGTGTTTATTGTAATAAAATTGTCATCTTGTTATTATTGATAATAATTTATAAATTTTAACTGTTCGGTGCCGGCGATTGATACCGGTTGGTCCCAATTTAATATTTAACACGCGTGATGGGCATTTCCAGGCGTCCAAGGTAATTAAAATAGAATAGATAATTGTAATAAAATATATTATTTTAATAATGAATTATATAATATTATCATTTATCAAGCACCTATATCCGTGCAGTATAATGACTATTGACTATACGACCATAATGGTCGGACCATTGCATAATCAACCGTAAGATCCATAAAGTACGATAAGTATGATCGAATTTGCGATGTAATAATGTAAATAATTTAATAATCTACCTTGAAGTTCAAAAAATATATGTATATAATTCCCGTACGCGTTCAGATTTGAATCGTATGTGATAATCCAATATCCGTGCGGCACTGAACAATACAGGTATATATAAGTTCTATTCTCTGCAGTTAAATGGTTCTCGAAGTGTAGTAGTAATATACATTGTACAAAATATACATTGAACGTTGAAGTCATTAGACGGGTATTATGCAGAAGAACATTATATGTTTTTTCGTACAATTATTTCGTTTTACGACGGCGGCGCACGCGTATAATTACTCGGAGTTTTTTCATGTGTGATAATATTATTGTCTTCGGTCAGCGGTGTAGTGGTGCTTTTATTTGTGTACGCTTGAAAAGAGTCGGCGGCCGCGATCGATTTGAATGATAAATTGAAATTAATTATTCAACGAGCCATAAAATATAGTGATTGAAACGCGCTGCAGTATGTTTCATAATATATTCATTATTTCGATCGAGTAGGACAAAATATACGCGTGCCGCGTGCGCACACGCTGCTTTACAACACACGAAATAATATCACAATTATTATTATTATTATTATTGTCGTCATGACA